AAGTTCGAATTTAAAAGAAAAAATCTAATATTTAATTTCTGATTAAGCTCGGATGTTATAGTTTCAAATCTTCAAAATTTGCATGTCTACAACTAAATACAATTACTTTCATTACCATATACACAAATAACATGATTAAGCCTATTAACATCATTAAAACAACCTGCAATAACACTTGACTTAATTTCCAAATGAGTAAACAATACTTCATCTTCGTGAACTCTAATCTCTTCATAAGATTATTGTCGAGTCTCCCACCAATTAATGTCTCTAACACTCAAGAACCACTCTTTAAGTTTAATACAGAAAAAAGAAAACAATAATAAACAAACAAAAGTTGTTGAAGTTAAGGTTTGTGAAAGGCCACATCAAAAGGAGAAGAATTCAAATGAAATGTGATCTCAAGTTGTCCGATAAGATATGTGCAAGTGGTGCTAAACCCTATGCAACGCCAACTCCCCAACTCTTTTATTTGATTTTTCTTTGCTCATGTTGCCAACTTGCCCTTTTTATTTATTTATTTATTTATTTATTTATTTATTTGGAGAGAGACAAATCAAGTGTAGCCGTTCACATGCTAATCATTTGTAGGCATTGTAGAATTACGTCATCTTTGTCGTGAGATGCCGTGGATGGCGGGCCCCGCTTCACACCTATTGGTAGTCAACAATCTTAGTCAACGAATGCAGCTACGAGTTATGGAATTGATTCCTTAAACCCTTTTTATTTCCCCCTTTTTGCTCACTAACCCAAATTTCCCTTCACATTGCTTTTACGCTTCATTTATTTTGGTTTTTAGATTTCAAGTTTGTTTTCGCCCCTACATTTTTTTAATATTTTTTCTTTCTTGTTTTGGTAATTTAAAATATTATGTTTTGTTTTTTACTCTCAAATTTGCACTTGAAAACAAATTTATTCAAATTTTCCTGAATTTATACTCTATAATATTAACATTTTAAAAAGTGGCGTACTATTTCTGCTAAATATAATATAAAAATTACAATAAACACTTTGCAAATTTTTTTTTATTTCAAACATAATATAAAAAAAAAAAAAGTTGAATAATGAAAAAATAATATTGAATATTATTAATTACGTAAATAATTTGGATAGAATAATAAAATTCGGGTTTATCATAATTAAAACCAAATAACTGATTAAGAAGAATCTCAAAACTCTATTATTTATTTATTTTATTTTTTTTGTAAATAGACTCGGGCTTTATCTATTTATATATATATATATATATATACCCGAAATTCTCTTTTTTTTTTTTTTTTTGTTTGGCTTTTTTCTGTTTTGGTCTGCTTAGCATTGACTTTGACCAAAAATGAATCCGTTCAAAAATCAGATTTTTCTTTGTGGAAAATAGGTCACAAGTTGGGATTTTTATTTTGTTTTATTTAAATCCTTGAAAAAATAGAAAAATATGTGGGTCCATTGAATGGAGGGTTTAAATTTTAATTAAGTAAAAAATTAGTGGAATAATTCTAACCAAATTAAGATTAAAAAAATATATTAATTGGTGGGAGGTGCTAAAAGCAATTTGATCACGTGCGACTTTGACCCGAAAAACGTGTTCTATGTCCACGTATGTACAAGACCAAGCAGCAGTCAAAGATTCCTAACCTCATAATTTCAATCCTTCCTTAGTTTCTTAATTTTAATTGCTTACCGAGTTTTTTTTTTTTAATAATTTGATAAATTATTTATTTATTTATTATTGTTGCAATTATTTAAACTCCGTGCCAGCGTGTGAACGGGTTGAAGAAACCATGAGAAGTGGAAGACAGTGAGGAAAACAATGGCTGCTGACGTGGCACATGTTCTTTCTTTCTCTCGTAATCAATATTTTTGGATTTGGATTTATATAGTAAATTATAGTCTTTTTTTAAAAAAAAATTATGTGGAAGAAGAGGGGAAAATAAAGTATATGTTTCTTTTATTATTGTTATTATTATTAGATAGGAATATAGAATTGTATTTGGCCCCCAAAATATAAGAATGTATTATTTTTGTAGACTAATTTTAGATTTTTTTATATAAAAATGAAAGAAATAAATAAGAAATATATAAAAAGTTAATATACTACCATTTTTTTTATAAAAAAAATAAATAAATATATGAGTAATCTCTTTAAAGATAAAATTTAACTTGAATTTTTTTCATTCTTATCCTAAAATAATAGCATTTGACAGATCATATCTATAAAAGGGAGCAAATCAACCCAATCCCATCAAGTTTGATCATTACTTTTAAAACATTCTCAAATAAAGTTTTGATAATACAAAATTTTATCAGAATATTTAGATACTTTTTTGATAAACTTCTTTCCCTTCCCTTTCAACCCTTTAACATTTCACTTTCAATATATATACTTAAGATTATGGAAACTTTTGTTCTTTAAGACAAAAAAATAAATATATTTGGAGCTCAAGGTTTTTTTTAGTAATCAACCTTATCATCACTCTTAGATTATGAGATAATGATCTATCATTAATCTAATCTTTCGAGTCAAACCAATAATTCTTTTCTATTTCGATGTGGAAAATGAATTTCATAATTAATTTTTATTTTTTATTTTTTTTGCACATGCGTCTCTCTTGTATGCTCCTTGTTTCTATTTTTTTTTAATTTTTTTTTTATGAAATTAAATACAATTAAATAATATATTTGGTGTCTTTTTAATAATATGTTTAAATACTACCATTATTTTTCAAGGAAAATTGATGTATAGAGTAGGTCCTCACTAACAGTCAAAAAATTATTCTATGAAATTGTCAGCCAAAATTTGTACATTTTCAAAAATTTGCTCATTCCATTTCAAGTATAATTGCCAACCTATAAGAATGTAATTTACAGCTATTACTTAGATTTTAAATACATTTAAAAGATGGGAAAATAAAGAAAAAAAAATTAGGGGAAAATAAATGTAGGCATGAGGTGGCCATGGTAGGTGAAGGAGAGCAGGAGGGAACGACAAAAGATGATGTGTCGGATTAATATGATTCATATAAAATGTCAAATCCAACCGCACTTGCCTAAAAGTGCCAACATGTCGTTCACGTTCTCATCTTTTCTATCTTCTCTATCATTGCGATTATCTCAATTCTCAGTATATAAAAATATATCTCAATTTTCGTTTCTTTCTCAAATCATTCATTCAATACTCAATTTGTTTTCTAAATTTTGAAATCATTGGATCACGAGTGAGAGCAATACTACGTAAACATAAAATGAAAAACAAAAAGAAATTAATAATTAATGCGGTGCTTTTTACAACAAATAACAATTGCATCATTTTTATGTCCATCTTGTTTGAAACATATCTTAAAAACTGAAAACCTATTATTGAAAATTTATGTTTGGACCACTAACTAAAAATAGACATAGTGAAAGGGATTTGATTAATACATATGTGGGGCATCCAAAGAGATGAGGCATAATAAATGGATGTATGGAATATTGCGTTAACAAGAAAAAAAATGATATTAGAGAGCCAATGCGACAAAATTGGACGACTCCTCAAAATACTAAACAAAATGATTTTGGATTATGGGTTTTATGAACATGCCTTTTTTATTGCCTATTAATCATAATATTCCTACATTTTTCAAATTTTTCAATTCAATCTACGACCTTATTTAATTTGAATAGAAAATTTTAGATGGGTATGGATTTCATAAATCTCCCAAAAACTAAGTTAGATTAAACCAAATCAATACCAATTTCTTGTTAATTTTAAAAATATATATTCAAATGAAATGGTAAATCTTAATCAAATGTGAATAAAAGATCGGAACCATCTAAAAATTTACGGTTCAAAAAGTTTACCATCCAAACAATTGAAGGTAAAAAAATGTCCAAATCCAATCTAATCCAACTCACAAATATTTTTAATTTTTAATTAATTTAAATTAATAATTATCCACTCACAACTAAGGTTTAATTATTTGAGCATTACTGGAACGGTTATATTTGTCTTTTATTTGTAAATGTTAACATCTTTGTATGAGATTTGAAAGTTGTGATTTTAGATAGGAAAAAATGGTAAGAGGGGAGTGGATAATATTCATTAATTTTGCTGAAATAGATTAAAAAGTCACCCAATAAAAGGCGTACTTATTTGAAAGAAATTCATAGTTACATAATAATTTAATGAAGTTGAGAGATTGAGGCATAAAATAGGAGGAATACGTTAGTAAATATGCAGGCAGTATTGGGAGGTAAATATATAGGCATAAAAGAGGCGTAAATGAGTAGAGTAAGTGAAGAGGGTACAATAATATTCAATGCATTTTGTGGACTCCACTGGGCCCCACCAAAATGACTATTTTATCCCCAGTTATTCCGTACAATTTAACGTATGCCATGTTCGAGTGGGGTGGCTCACACACTCCCTACTCCCACTCTACTCCCCCAATCTCCAATCTCCACCCTCCATTACTCCGACCTTTTCCAGTCCAAGGGTGTGGTGAGAGTTATGGGTTTGTATTAATTTGCAAAGGAAATTAGGATATTATGAAAATAATGTGAATGGGAGATGGATTGAATGTGTTGTGAAGAAGCAGGCCCACAACACCGCCCATATCTCATTATCTTTACACGTGGTGGGAGTGGAGCGGGGCTTGTGGGGCTGTCCTCTCTTCTCTGTAATGGGAGGGAGAGAGAGAGAGAGAGAGAGAGCGCGCGCGGGGCATGGGATGAGCGGTACAACAACAGGAGTGGCAGCAGATTTGATAGGCGATAGCCGGGGGGATGAACCTGTATCTAATATCTATTCCTCTCTAATCTTAACAACTTTCAACTCCATTTTTAATTTAACCTAACCTTCTTTTTTTTTTTTTTAAAAAAAAAAAAGAAAAAGGAAAAAAATCTTGAATTAATATATTATATATGTCTATCTCTAACTTCACCCACATACCCATATCTCCCACACCTATAATAATTGGATTCCATCCCTTCCCCCCTCCTTCCTCTTTCTTATTTTGATAATTTCATTTCTAAAATTAAATTAAAAAAAAAAAAAAAAAAAAAAAGGTCTTGAGTTGCAATATGTATGTATATATTCCTCCCCCATCAGCCCCTCACTTCCCATTGATTCCTTTTTTTTTTCTCTCTCCAAACAAAATGGATGCGAGTTCTATAGACGAAAGCAGCGGCAGCGACTCCACCTCCATTTCTCCCATCACTCCATTACTCTTCCACTCATCCCCCGCGCCTGGGATGCCCCATGAGGCCGAATCTCGGAAGCTTCCATCTTCCCGTTTCAAAGGAGTGGTCCCTCAGCCCAATGGCCGATGGGGGGCCCAGATTTACGAGAAGCATCAGAGAGTCTGGCTCGGGACATTCAACCAAGAACACCACGCTGCCAACGCCTACGACATCGCTGCCCTCCGCTTCCGTGGCCGCGACGCCGTCACCAACTTCAAATCCCTGGACGACGACGATGATAATGATGCCATGGAGGGCGAGTTTCTGAACTCCCACTCCAAGCTCGAGATCGTGGACATGCTCCGGAAACACACCTACAATGAGGAGCTCCAGCAGAGCAAGCGGCAGCGTGGGGCCATAGCGGCGGCTAATACGCCTGTCCACCATTCGGGGGTTGATTCGAAGAGGGAAGTGTTGTTTGAGAAAACGGTGACGCCGAGTGACGTGGGGAAGTTGAACCGGTTGGTGATACCGAAGCAGCACGCGGAGAAGAATTTCCCGACGGGGGAGGGGTTGGGTTCCGGGAAAGGAATGCTTTTGAACTTGGAGGATATGGGAGGGAAAGTTTGGCGGTTCCGGTACTCGTATTGGAATAGTAGCCAGAGCTATGTGTTGACTAAAGGGTGGAGCCGGTTCGTGAAAGAGAAGAGTCTCCGAGCCGGGGATGTGGTTCGGTTCCTCCGCTCCACCGGCGCGGATAAGCAGCTTTACATCGATGGAAAGGCGATAAGTGAAGGGGGGGTGAAGGCGGTTCATGTGGTCAAGCTTTTTGGAGTCAATATTCTGGAAGTGCCGCTGCCGGTGGGTCGTTGCGGCGGGGAGCCAAAGAACCAAGGGGTATTATTGGAATTGCAACCTTCCAAGAAGCAGAGAATAATCAAAGCCTTGTAACATTTTAATTTTAATTTTAATTTTAATTTTTGGTGTGCCAAGTTGGGCAATGTGACGTATTAACCCCAAAAAACGGATAAAAGAAAAAAGAAGAGAGAAGATGAAACCCATCCTTTTTTGACCTTTTTATTTTCTTTTTATCTTGTCAATTAATTACTTCTAATTTTAACCAATTTTTGTGAATTAATGTAGCCCTGCATTCTAAACTTTATCCTAATGCTTACATATTTAGGTCCATTCAAATTTCTTAAATTAATGCTTAAAATATGTGTTCTTTCACTATCATTTAATTCAAATACATTATACTTTTATTTTAAATAATATAACAACTATCAATTTTCTAAAATCAAAACGTTCATTCCTGTTTCAAAAATCAAAAGCGTGTATAGTAAAATATATGATTCTTAAAATATAAGAAACCGTCGATAAAAAAAATTAATTTATTTTAAATAGTTTGTTTGATAATATATATATATATATATATATATATATTTATTTATTTAGAAAGACACATTGTAAACAATATTCTTAGCGTAGTAATTGATTCCAAGAAAATTGTACGATCAAGATATTCACCATGGTAATAAAAAAATGAAGAGCTCGATACGTTTGGGCCTAAACTAGCGAGTCACCATGGAATGAAAATAATAATAAATAAATTTGGATCCTAAATGGGCCTCATGGGCCGTATCCTATAAAGGAGACGCCTTCTTGAACAGAGCCCATGTAAATTTGCCCGCCCATGTAAGTACCTCCAAAACGTTATCCTCTGTTCCTCCTGCTATTGTTCGTTGGTTGAAATTTCTAGTGGAGAATGGCAATTAGCGCCTCGCTCGTTCGAGTTTCATCATTGAAGCTCTCTTCAGTCTCTCATGGTCATGATTTCTCACCTTCGTCGAAGTCGTCGTCCTTCATGGGCGTGCCACTTAATTTTCTTCCCTCTTTCCGCTCTGGTATGTTTGTCCTTCTACCTTGTTTGCTTCCATGGAATATACGGAAGCTTTATGACTTCTCATTCTTTTTCTTATCATTCATTTCACTCACGAATTGAGCGCATAGGAACTATTTAAGTTCATTTTACATGTTAATGGCTCGGTCTTCTCTTCTTTCACCTCACTCGTGTTCATCTTGTTTTCTCGTTCCTTGCAGGGAAACAAAAGCAGTTTCATGACAATCTTGTCGTTGTATCGAAGAGGACGTCGGGTCTGGAGGAAGCCTTGAGAAATTTGAGGTACACCGGACTGATGGGCTTTATGGCTCTTTAAGCACGTATGAGACTGTTTAATTATTTTTTGATCTTGTACGCTCTTTTCTTATTGATTCCGTTCGAATGCCCTGCTTCAATACGCAAGTTGTTGATGGTGTTTCTTTATACTAATACTCTTTTCTAAGTTATACATTTTATTATATCGATGAATGTACGAATTGCGAATCTTTGATAAAGGAAAATAGAATACCAACTCTCGATTAGAATTCATGGGAAGTTGTTTTGTGAAACCCCAAAAGTTCTGAAACTTAAACGGAATAGGTTCCCAGTACGTCTCGCGTGGAGATTCGTAGAATCATATGAGATGCTCCTCTCATTGTTTGAAGCAGTACAGGAGTATTAAGTTGACCTATCATTTGCCCCAAGGAATTGAGCAATAGAATAGAGAACTGCTTGCCCCCCTTGTATTCGGCCATGAGAAACAAGAAAGGCAAACATCATTTAGAGAAAAGTCACTTATGAGTTAATTGAGATAACCCATACTGCCAGTACAAGTATTGTTTCCTACAAAAGATTCTTGAGATGTCGACCTAATGTCGAGTCACTTCTGATGCACCAACAATCCCTAATAGACCGTAAGATATTTTTTTAAAATTAATTTTAGTTTAAATGGTTAGAGATCATGTTGTTTTGCTAGAGGGAGGAGAAACAAGAACCTGATTGACTTTCTAGACAATGGGGATATCTTGAAGGAGGATAGGGAGATTGAGGAGGAGATCATCTCTTTCTTTTCAAATCTCTATGCCCCTTTTGGCCCCTAGGTCTTTTTTGGGATGGGTTGGATTAGAGTCCCATCTTTGATAGAGAGAGGGAAGAGTTGGAAGCCTTGTTTACGCCATGGTGGAAATCTTGTAGGTGGTCTTTGGGTTTTTTTAGAGTAACAAATCCCCGGGGTCTAAGGTTTCATGATGACCATCTTTTAGAAAAGTTGGAGTGCATAGAGGAGAATTTATGGAAAGTCTTTAGCGAGTTTTACGGCGGGGGTGGGG